TCAAAAAGGAAAGTTTTTTTTCAAATGGCAAAATCAAAAGCTCAAACACGTCAAACGAATGTAGAAAATGGTGGAATAAACCTGGTTTTATAGCTAGCTAAACCTTCACTCGTACTGCAGTCGAATAGAATTCCATTATATTGACTACAATGTGTGAGCAAAACAAAGAGACATTATATTGGATGGAGAGTTGCCTCATTGGCACTCATACCACATCTTCTTATATCTATACAATAGGTAAAATTGTCAAAATTTGGGGTACAGCAGTCAACATTGTGTTATAATCTTAATCACTATAAATATAACATTACTATTTCAACAAAGAAAAACTAAATGGCATATAAACACTCTATAGACAAAGTACATAATCAAAAATTAAAGACAAGCATACAAAAAAGGGCCATAGTACAATAACACAATGGCGGGATGCATAAATACCGAACCACGTCAGTAGTATGTTACAAAAAATGGACTAAACAGTAAAGGTTAAAGACAAATAAAATGAACACTATAACACGTGATTAAGATGATAAACAACGTCAGCAACCAGAATCTATACTTCAAGACCATCCTGTATTATTTGTAAGCGTCTCACTATTTTTAATATATACCGGTTTTAATAAGTGTTTGGTATGACTATAAATATTCACATGTTTTGTTAATATGTCTTTGGATTGAGTTAAGCCATATTATAGTGTGTCTTTCTATGTTGTGATGTTACACTATTGTTTCAGGAAAGGATGAAGGTTGGTACCTATTGAAACGTTTAACCCAGCTGCGTTTGTTTGCACTTGTCCTAAGTCAGGAACCTGATGTTCAGTGGTTGTTGTTTGTTGATGTGGTTCATAAGTGTTTCTCGTTTATCGTTTTTATATAAACTAGACCGTTGGTGTTCCTGTTTGAATGGTTTTAAACTAGTCATTTTTGGGGCAATTATAGCTTGCTAGTCGGTGTGAGCCAAGGCTCCGTGTTGAAGACCGTACTTTGACCTATAATGGTTTACTTTTTCACATTGTGACTTGAATGGAGAGTTGTCTCATTGGCACTCATACCACATCTTTTTATATCTATTGATACAAAATATTTATTAACAAGGTATTGGTATCTTCCGATAACATTTTTTTTGAAAAAGGACAAGACGTTCTTTGACATAACCCTAGTTCATCAACTTTCTGCTCGGACACTGGTGATGTTTTATAAAGTCTGAGTAGCAGTTGCAAGCTCTTGAATATCGAATGATTTGGAATATGTATATCCCGTATGCATGTGAAGATCGTATATTGATGCTAAGGTGTGGTAAATTTATAATTTCAAAATTAAAATCGTCTCGTTTGTCATAGATTTTGGTACTAAGATGACCTCTTATGTCAAATTCGATGTACAATTTAAACATTAGGTGGAGGAAGCCGTGTCTGTTGTTTCTGTTCAGTTAATTTTTAAGTTGTGCTGTTTCACAACTTAATCGTTGTCAATATAATGGAATTTTATGCGTCTGTCATACAAGTGAGAGGTTGAACTAGCTATAAAACCAGTTTTAATCCACCATTTTCTACATAAGAAAATGCCTGTGCCAAGTCAGGAATATGACAGTTTGATGTGTTTGAGCTTTTGATTTTGCCATTTGCTTAAGGACTTTCCGTTTAGAATTTACCTCGGAGTTGGGTATTTTTTTATATTTTACTTTCCCTGATTGTGGGATTGTTGAACGCTCGCAAACATGTTTAACACTCTGAACAACAAATTTATTAATTTTGCAAAAAATGTCTACTTCCGTATTGCTTACAAAAACATTATCAGATTCAAATTTACCTGTTTGTAACGTCTATATTATATAGGCACCTACGTTTTAATACTAGTATTGTATTTATATTGTGTCATATATCAAGCTTATTGTTTCAGTTTACGTTTACATGTTTTTGTTTGATCGCCATTTCAATAGATATTTTAAAGTGTGTATTTTTATGTTGTGATGTTACACTTCTGTCTCAAGTTAGGGTGAAGGTTGGCGCCTGTTAAAACGTTTAAATCCGCTGCATTTTTATGAACCTGTCCTAAGTCATGAGCCTGTTGTTCAGTGGTTGTCCTTTGTTAGTGCGGTTCATAGGTGTTTGTCGTTTTTCCGTCAATTTGACACCAACAAAACGACCCCAAAATTCCAAAAGACATAATTTTATATTAGACAGTACTATCTAAACGATATGTCATGCCCTAAATCGCCTACAAAACTGCAAATGGTAGTTAATTTTCAAATGTTAAATGATGCATGATCTGAAGCTGATTAACAATTATTAAATTAAGTCAATTAGCAATACCACAGAAGGTAGTAGCCCAATAGATTCATTTAAGAGGAATACATTCAGACTGAGGCGACTGACTGCATGAATACTCCGACATTAACACTATCTTTTACAGTCAGAAAATCCCATCTCTTTAAGAATAAGGAGGTGTAGCATTATTTTCATTGAGGCATTTATCCTCCAGAGTTGAAATGACGTGGATGTAAGCAATTGATTACAAAAACGCACATCTCTGTCTTTTGAATTTTGTTAAATAAATATTCCCTGTTTATCTCATATTTAGCAGCCACAATTGGACCACAACTTGTGTGGTAAACTTATAATCATTTATTTAACATTGATAAAGCTTCCACTGAAATCCCTTGAAATTGCTTTATAAAATATAAGATCATCGTTTCATATCAATTCTGTGTATATATCCATATGTAAAAAGAGTATATATCTGAAATTAAATGTGGATATTGACAGTGCTTGCTAAATAAAATATAAACCGATAAAGAGAAAACTTAAATTACTATGAATGTGTTAAACTGCAATTAATTCAATTGTTGTAAAAGAAGCTAATGCAAAAATATCCAAAATCCCGGCAATGGTGAAACAAGTACACAAGAGAAATAACTCTTTCAATGATAAAGTTGCCATTTAAAGTTGTTTTTGAACCACAATTACACATTGTTATTTATTAGGTCTTTCCACTATTCTGTGGAAAGACCTATTGTATTTGTTCTGATTATTATTTTTTTCATCCGCTAAATTTTGTTATCGCGTAAAATGTTTGTTTCACAATATGTCGCTAAGATATTTCTTATATAGTATCATACCGTTTATGCGCTATTTATTTTCACCCATTTTAAGCCGAACAATTTTCTTTGTAAGAGTTATCTCCCTATTCACTGTTTATCAAGTGTGTGCAAGTGTGTGCATCTCCTAACAAAAAAAGATATCGACAAAATTCTTTTTCTAAATTGTTCGTTACATCCTCAGGAATTTTTGGCTAATTTGGATCGAAGCGATTCGATGAAATTTTAAAGGAGTTATCTACCTTTACCAAATAAATTTGTCGGTTTGTTTTTTAACTCATAAACCGTGAACCGTATAACCCAGAAATCTCTTTATTTGAGGTCTCTAGGTCCTAACTTAGAAAATGAGGTCTAGGTCAAAGGTCAAGGTAATGTTCTCCATTTTGACTTTTCCTATTTTTGCATTTTCTCAAACACTTTTAAAGATATATATGAAACAATAAGTTCAAAATGTCTGCTTTATTGTAATGAAGATATGTTTCATTTGGTCTGAAACAATCTAATGGCATCTTATAGGAGTAAGTGCCCCTGAAATGCCCAATTATAAGGTTAATTGACTATTACTTCAACTTGGTTCATTATAAAGCCATATGACCGTTTACAAAAGGTTAGATGACATATGACCTTGAAAAATGACAACCGAAAGTGACCTTGAGAAAACCGGAAGTAGCCATTTTTGCATTTTCTTCATGGAAAAGTACTAGGAATCCATATATTTTGTAATTTTGATACATTAACTTATCACTGAAGAATAGAAAAGACTTTCGATAAACCGGAAGTGGCATATTATCTCCTAGTTTACAAGCAAAAGTATAAAGAAACTATATACTTTTGGAATCAGTGTTAAAGAAACTATTATATGAAACCGGGAGTGACATTTACTTCACTGGAAGTAGCTAAGTATCTCCATTATTTCACTCAGAAGTATATAGAAACCACTTATTTATCGCATCAGTATGAAGAAACTGATAGTAAGATGCCGATTTTAACTTTGAGTAAACACGAACTAGCTTCTTTTCAATAAATTTTAAAAATTGCTGTGGAAAGACCTTCAATTGTTCTCTGAACAATTGGTTTTCAATTTTACTTGTTATGATAATTAAGTAAATGCGTTACAGAAACATAAGATCAAATGTCCTAAGTTTACCAAAGATTACTTTTAAAATAAAATTTTTATGGACTTCTAGTTTTTGAATTTGCCTTTCGGTATTTTTGTTAAATTTTTATCAAACAAGAGGCATCCTAGTTTTTCAATTTTTAGTTTTTTAATATGTTCCTGAACCACATAGTTCACAAAAAATGAATTACTAATGAAACTAATAACTAGAAGAATACAACCCTCCTCCACACACACACACAGATATATATATGTGTGTGTGTGTGTGTGTAGTCGTCTTGTTATTACATATGTATATAAACATAAGGTAATATGGTTAATGTTCTATAAAGATCATGTTTTAAAAGTTTTAACCATGAATAGCCGAGATTTTTTTATTTTGATTTTTCACATTTTATTAAAAAAAAAACATATTTTACACACGAAACACTATTTTCATATACTAATTACGATAAGACTTCTTATTATAAAGATATAAAAGTATGTCCTATTTTCTGTAAAGATCTCACGTCAAAGGTTTTAGCCATAACTAACTGAGTTATTCTTCATGTCCTCAATTATTTTAATGTATATTTTTAGTATGTAGTTAGTACAATTATGAATTGAAGCTAAATTGACTATGTATACGCGATTTGACCTGAATAATGTTTGTCAAAATGTGTGCAAACATTGTTAAAATTCCATTTTAGTAAATTACTGTGCTTTTGAGTGTGGACGGTGTCCTTTTCGTTTTAGTTCATTGATTTAAATGTAAATATATTTTAAATTTAGTAACACAACCCGTATAAATACCCAGCAGGTAAGTTGTAATGATAATCTCACTTCATTGTAAAATTGTAAAATGCTTAAATAAGAGTTTTTTTTCTAATTTCTCATGGATTTTATCAATTCTGATTGAAAGTAAAAGTATTCTTGCTTTACAAAGTAAAGCTGTCCAATGACCTACTGCCACAATAACACTAAGTCACACGTTTGATTGTAAGAAGTTACTATCCAGTAAGAATTCATTCCATGTAATTGTGATCATTTGATAAAACTAATCCCACTTATTGTGTCCTTTTTTGTTAACTGTATAAAATCTTTTAATGTGAAACTTCTACAATGCTTGTTTTTGTTTCATATTGCATGTCATAAGCATGTATCAGTTAATCATAAAAGGTCAAAAGTGTCTTAAGCTCTACTCTTCTCCTTAGAAATTAAATATACCCAATGTGTGTTAGCAGTATGCCTTGTTATTGTTGTACATACACATTTCTTTCACAATTTTAAATAAAAAATATGCATGAATAAACATGTATACATCGTCTTTTTATTGGTTATCTAGAAAAGAATATTTTAAAAATATATAAATAGAATATATAATAAAAAATCTACATAATGTCTGATAAATCAACAATGATTGATTGATTGTTGCTTGCTGAACGTCCAGTGGCTATTATTAATTCATGCTTATTAAGGATGAAAACCAACAATGCAAAATACGTGTAAATGAAGATCACATTTATTTTTTCTTGCTATTCAACAAAAAGGGGGGGGGGGGGGGGGGGAGGGGGGGGGGCGAAAGATACCAGAGGGAAGTCAAACTCATAAATAGATCCGTCTTTTGTTAAGCATATGTTGGAAAAAACATCAGTTCCTTAAATTTAAGTCTATGTGTAGTATAATTGAATTTGACATTTAATTTTTGGTTTGAAAATAATATGATGAGTGATTGATGGTTGCTTAACGTCGAATGGGAAATCTTTCATTTGTATTCAGGACGAGAACAAATTACATTGAATACAATATGTAGGTGTGTAATAGAGGCCGATCCGGGGATGAAGGTCGGGGAATTTGGTCAGCCACTAGAAAATGAGGGTTAATTGGACAGGGACATACATTTCAGACCTAGCGGCAACACAAGATGAATCAAAATTATGCTGTTCAATAAAATAATTAACAACAAACGGACATAATAGTTGAACGATTTGAAACATTAACCGGTATATGACTTTGGTCTTTCAATATTAGGCGGAAATACCAATAAGTAGAAAGGATACATAACAAATTGAGAAATATAAGTATACATGTTTTGTTTAATTAAAAAAGATCTGTATTAAATATTATCTTACAGAGGAACAGTCCATGATGATTTCAGTAAAGTTAACAGTTCTGCTATATGTATTATCACCAGCTTTCTCTAAAGATTTACAAGAAGTAACAATTAGTACACCACTCGGTGGACTTCTCGGTTTACGTCGGAAGTTATTGAATGAGACTGTTTATGAATTTAAGAACATACCGTTTGCAAAAGCACCGGTTGATAATTTACGGTTCGAGAAACCACAGCCGTATGGATCATGGGATAATACCTTAGATGCAAGACACTTTGGTCCGTCATGTTATCAAGACTTGGCCGGAATGGAATCCTATCTGCAAAATACAAATATCTCCGAAGATTGTCTTTTTCTCAATATATATATTCCACATCACGTTTCGACCGAAAGTAACAAATCTGTTATGGTCTGGATTCACGGCGGTGGTTATTATACTGGGCAAGCCCAGTTATATGACGCAGCATATATAGCTGTTGCAGGCGATGTTATAGTTGTTACTATTCAATACCGTTTACATATTTTTGGTTTCTTTGCAACCGGCAATAGTAAAGGAAATTATGGATTATTGGACCAGATTTTGGCAATACAGTGGGTTAAAGATAATATAAATTCGTATGGCGGAAACAGTGAATCTGTTACAATATTCGGAGAATCAGCTGGTGCATTTAGTGTGGGTTTATTATCTATAATGCCACAAAATCAAGGACTTTTTCAAAGGGCTATAATGCAGAGTGGAACCGCCCTCTCAGAACTCACCATGGGATCAATAACACGCTATGCTTCATCACAGGTAGCAAACAATGTAGGATGTTCTCAATCAGATCCTGGGAAAATAACTCAATGCATGAAATATGTAGATGCAAACGTTATATTAGCAGAGCAAGGAAAACGATTTTCTTCTAGTCTTATCCAAAGTACATTTGCCCCGGTAATTGATGGCGAATTGTTGCCAATTCAACCAAAACAATTGTTACTTAATTCATCCGCTTCTAGTTTTTTTAAGTCACTGGATGTCATCATTGGAATAAATTCAGGAGAGGGTTCGCTTTTGTTAGATTTTTTCCTATACGAAGGGGGTCAAAATCTTTTTCAATTCAACGCATCAGATTATATACCAAAACGGATTCTTTGTGAAGTTCTTGTTCCTGATCTTGCGAATGTAATGTACAATAATAACACCGACATAGCCATTTCTATATGTGATAAATACGGTGCAGCATTAACACGTGACCAACTTAGTAAAGATATTCTAAATTCATATTCAGACCTTACGTTTATGGTCCCAGCAGTCGAATCACTGCGCCTTCACACAGGTAACGGTAATGGAAAACAATTTCAGTATATCTTCTCACCACAGTCTACAATACCTTATCCAGAGTGGTTTGACGGTTCAGCGCACGCCACTGACCTAAATTATTTTTTTTTCCCGGGAACACTTTCCACAGACCAAGATGGAGAGCTATCTTTAAATTTATTGAGGTACTGGACTAATTTCGCCAAAACAGGGTGAGTATTGCACTGAGTAACAGGGTGATGATATTTGTTTTTCTTGGTCCAATAGTTTAATTTCTCGAAGTTATTCAGGATTCATACTAAATATAATTATTTGAGGTTGATTCATATTTTTTACCGCATTCTAATCATGTGCAATTTCTCAATCTACATACTGCGTTGAAAACATAAGCAATTTTCTTATGATAAATCGCAGTATTTTTTTCCTTTTTTTCCCTTGCCTTTATTTCACTAGAAACTAAATGTCTTACGCTGGAAACGAAAATATGGTTGAGAATTAATTGATAAGCTTTAAAGAGCAAAATCAGATATCGGTTTCTGGCTTTTCTCTACTCGGCAAAGTGAAGAAACATAGTAAATAATTTTTATCGCTCGAGAAGGCGCTTGATTTTCATATGTTAGAAATTTCTTCACAGTTACATTGAAGTAGAATGACATTGGAATGAAATAGCTAAAGATCTGGAAGTATTCAAACTGGTGATATCAAGATCACATATTTTCTATACATTTTCTATGCAGAACTAGGCTTTTAAAGTTCAGTAAACAGTTTTTTTCTCTTATAAGAACAGTATTAAATATTGACTATTTCATTTTTTTAATTAACACAATAAATTCAATAAACCAGAGTGTTTTAATGAAATTGGCTTGATTTCTTTCTTTTTTATGCTTTAAGATACAAATTATTTGGCTTTAAGCACCATTGAGGGGGAATGGGTGTAATGTATCTCAAAATTATAAATTGAGGATTGAAAACTCGTTAAATAACAATTATTGTTTCATATCTTTCATACCGGGGCCTTTTATAGCCGACTATACGGTTTGGGTTTTTTCTCATTGTTGAAGGCCGTTCGGTTGCATATAATTGCTATCAACCACTTAAAAACCTCAATTTAAGAACATGACATTACAGAACTGTTAAAAAGTTATAAAAAATAGTTGGTAAAATAATCATGATATTGACACACAGCAGTAGAGTACATAAATTGAACTGGACGAAATATAAAAGTCGATGTCGACTTAATTTAATTTTAATAAATATTAATGAAGAGTTTAATGTTTAAAGGTACTCAATTGATTTATTTATTTTATTAGTATCAAGGACAAATTTTAACTACCAGTTGAAAAAGTAGATCTAGGCCTATATGTTGAAATATTTATATTTTATTTCGTTATGATCTGACAACATTCGTGTAAATGCTGTTGGGCAACTTAACTTTAGGCTTTAATATTATAAGAAAAAATCATTTGGAACTTTTGATTAGAATTCGAATAAAATCTACATGATTGTACAAAGACACGGTATATTTGTACACAATGTATTTTTGTGAAATGCTTCTATGCAGCTATGTAGTTTTTTTCTGAAGTAAGATTCTTGCTGGTATGAACGATCATGTCCGGTGTTTTATGTACAATTTTATTCTTTGTATGCTTATATGGTATTATTCGTCATTGACATAGTTTTCCATTGTTTTGTTCATGAATTAAAAAGAAACTCTTTAGAAAAAAGTAAAATCACAAAAAATACTAAACTCCGAGGAAAATGCAAAACGGAAAGTCCCTAATCAAATGGCAAAATCAAAAGCTCAAACACATCAAACGAATGGATAACAACTGTCATATTCCTGACTTGGTAGAAAATGGTGGATTGAACCTGGTTTTCTAGCTAGCTAAACCTCTAACTAAGTCGCAAAAAGTTCAATAAAGACTTTAAAAAAGCCTTCTTAAATATGGCAATGCTATTTAGCTGACATTCATATGGGAGTAATTGCACTTACTAAAAAAAAAAATAATTGTCAAGATTTTTACTAAATACTTTTTTTGTTTTTAATTAAATATTGCCAAGTGACGTGTATTTACATTTCAAAAATCCTGAATGAAACAAAATAAATATTAGACGTTAACCCTGTAATTAAGAAATTTAAAAACAGCAATACCAGAGCTGTTTCATTGCTTTTTTTTGTCAAGTGCGTTCAGGGATTTTATGTCATGAATTAAAATTAAAACATCAGATGATATTTTTTTTACACACCAACTATTATTCTATGAAATGTGTAAGGTATTAGACTGGTATTTATTGGCTGTACTTTTCAATTAGTAAAATGTGGAAGAAGACTTTTTGTGACATGCAAATATGCTAAAATTGGTGAAAATACTCCGTAGCCTTTGAAGAAATGTGCATTGTAATTTGAAAATCTTCTGCATTTTATTTGTCTTTCTATTGTATATTGTATGTTGACAATGTTCAGTATTTTATGTTTGTATTTTATTGTCTTGATTCATATTATTCGAGTTCCACTGATAAGTCTTATGTAGACCTTCATTTACTTAATCATCAACACTTTTATATTTGAGTTTGATCAAAATAAAAACAGAAAAAGACACCAAATGCTGATTGAGCATATAATCTACTAAAATAAAGAGGTATAATTTGTTAGCCTGTATGATCTAAAAACGCAGAATCAAAGATTTCAACTTCATATATAACTAATATAGGACAATGGCGTTGATTAAACATTACTCCATTTCAAGCACTTTTGTTTTCCACATAATTAATATTGCCTATAATTAAGTAGTTTCGGTTCCACTGGTTCAAACAGAAAGATTTTGAAAGCAGAGAAAACTGTACACCTTATAATCAGCATGACTTTATAAGATGACAATACGAATACTTAAAATCCTGGATAAAATTAGGCTTCGGTGCTATAATATAATTCAGTCACGGACCCGCGGATGTATTCCAGCATTTATGATAAAACAAATTCATATTTTTTTCAGAGATGTCAATGGAGTAGACCTACCAAAGTGGGAAGAATATGACACAACAAATGAACATTACATCAATTTAAATATCAACATTACAACTGGTCAACATATGTTTGAGGACCGTGTAGACTTCTGGCTGAATGAAATCCCCAGAATATTAAACCCATCATCATCAACACGCAGGCCAATAATACAAACATCTCCGACTAATGGCAGTCATAAAGTATACAGACATGAACTGTTAATAAGTTGCTTTCTCTTGTTGTATGTTGTGTTGTGTTTCTTTAGATCGAATTAACTAGAGTGTTTTACATATATTAAAATAATATTGATATTCCGCTGCACTTTAGGAGGTAGTAATCTGTAAGAAAGTCAGCACCCTTGTTTTAACTAACATTAACTGTTTTTCGCTTTTTAAAGCTTAACTTAAATTTAAGCTTTTACGTAAATGATTTTCATTTTTCTTGTGGTCGGATGTTTTTAAGCCCTTACTTGCTTGGTATTCTTGGATGTCTTTGTGAAACTTAGAATCCAGTTTTTCATGAGCGGAGTATTTATCATATCAGTATAATAAAACACTGCTCTTTATGATTCATAGTGGTATTTTCTTATCTAAAACATTAAAATGGTAAAGTTTTATATATATAGAAATAACTCATATTTTATTGATACAACTAAATTACTATTTTTGTATCTGAATAGAAAATTCTCATTTGGGCAGTATTCGTTCTAAATCTGTTCATTGAGATAAACAATGCGTTGTCAAACAAAGATATTTTGTAAACAAAATATAGGAAATCCTTAAGTCTTTATTTGAATTTACATTTGTATTAGTTTTGTTTTAGCAATATAAAATTATGGCCCGTAGAAAAGGTGTTTATCCAAAATTGTCAACACGAGAAAGTTATTTCATTGAGGGCGCAGCCCGAAGTGAAAAGATTTTTAAGGGTTGACAATTTTAGATATCATCTAAGGGGTCATAATTGTTTTATTATACCGATCTGTATATATCAGTGGAAGGGCTCTTTGAATCATTGAAAAAAACACTTACTATATTCTTTATTAACAAACATAAGTTGATGTTTTAACATTATACATTTTTGTCCTAGAATTTCTTATATCATCATATGTACAACAAAGGTAGTATCTTTTTGTCAAATATTGGTGGCCCTGAAAAGGACCGTTTATAAGAGATGTCATCGGCACTAAATGCAAGTCCAAAGTCTTATTTCCTCGTTTCTCGATGGGCTTTCTGTAACGTGAACGCTGCCATTTTGTTTATTTACATCAGTGACGTCATTTTCATGGGAAACAACTCGTGTACAAATAAAGAAACTCAAAAGGTTATTCGCCGGTGAATAATAGGATAATAGGATTATTCACCGCTGGTGTAAATTCTAAGGGTTGTTCGTCCTTCCTTGCAATTAAATGAAAATTAACTGAATTATTACATGCCACATGATAACGTGCATCTTCACTAGCCAAAGATTACGATCCGATTACCTCCTCTCCACCCTTGGCGGATTGAGATAGAATTTCGGAGACACAAGGAAGTGATTTTTATTGGTTGCAGTCGTAACTGGCTGCATCCAATCATAAAGCACCTATAACATGATCACGTGTAAATATAGAAAATGAAGGTAAACAATTGCTACGTGCTGATTGTGCAACAAGTCTTTGCACCCCAAAACATACGACGATATTTAGTGACAATTTAAAAGTTTTTAATCAACTAATAACAAGTTCTTGTGCATGTGTCTTGCACAAATGTTGGAATGTCAACGAATATTTTCGTTTCCTGCTTCAACAAGTTTGTAGACTCTAGACGCTACCGTGTTTTCATCTCCACACTGAAGAGAGTTCAAATGCTCCCATTGGTCAAGAATAATGTATTCGAAATGGGCGTGACGTCAATCAACCGATAGATGGCGCAACAATTTTATCACAGATGTTGGCTTAATCTGCCAAGGGTGGAGAGGAGGTGATTGGATCGTAACCCCTGGCTTGCGAAGATGGATAACGTGTTACCCAATATAATTGTTTGTAATATATGCAAGGTATAATAATTACAAGTGAACACATTTCGTATTAATAACATTAAAATATCTGACGAAGGAAACAACCTTAATTTTTCTATAACAATGAATGGTTGTACAGAAATATTTCTAACATCACTGACAGGCGCTTAGGGCCCTACTATTTACAGTTTCAATTCTTTTTATTAGTAATCTTTAAATTTTAAATTATTTTAACTGGTCTTATGTGTTTTTGCTTTCATTAATATGTTAAAAAAATACGGTTTATTTTGACTATGATTCCTAAATTCTGAGTTTTATCGGTATAATATTTTTAAAAAATTCATGCTGGAGTTCCCAGAATTATTTTGTGAACAAAGAGATTAAGTTGGATGAAGTTGGATTATGATATTTGACTAATGAATCAAGGTAAAAACAGGTAAAACTTGAGGAACGAAACAGACCGAAAACGTTTTATTTTGACTATAATTCCTACATTTTGAATTTTATCGGTAAAATATTAAAACATTCATGCTGGAGTTCCCAGAATTATTTTGTGAACAAAGAGATTAAGTTGGATTAAGTTGGATTATAATATTTGACTAATGAATCAAGGTAAAAACAGGTAAAACTTGATGAATGAAACAGACCGAAAACGTTTTATATATGACTATAATTTTTAATGGTTTCATATCATATAGTTTTAGCATAACGTCTATTAAATTGAATACTTAGTAGTACGAAATTGTCATTAGAACACATTCCAATAGTCCATTATTGTTAAACATACAGAGATTTCACAAAGTTGTAGTCAATAGGCAAGAGATGAGAAGCAACATCAGAATACCGAATCAGAGTGATTCAATGTTTCAAGTCAGTTGTAGAGCTCTCGATATTTTTTTTGTCTTGGGAACAGGTTTTAATTTTCCTCAGCTCTGTATAACAGACGGTACATGCATGGGTGGCTTCTTCGATTTTAAAAACTTTATCATACTAATATAAAAAAGAAGATGTGGTATAATGGCAAATGAGACAACTCTCCACAAGAGACCAAATGACACAGAAATTAACAACTATAGGTCACCGTACGGTCTTCAACAATGAACAAAGCCCATACCGCATAGTCAGCTATAAAAGGCCCCGAAATGACAATGTAAAACAATTCAAACGAGAAAACTAACGGCCCAATTTATGTACAAAAAATGAACGAAAAACAAATATGTAACACATAAACAAACGACAACCACTCAATTACAGGCTCCTGACTTGGGACAGGCACATACAAAATAAAGCTGTTTTGGTGTGTGCCTTGACCACATTCTACAATTTGATGTGCCGCTGCGTGAGTGATTTCCAAATGATTTGGTGTATTAGGACCTTCTGCTGCATAATGTTTCCATAGGGTTTATTTGCCTTCCACCTAGTTATTAGTTATATAATAAGTAAAAGCAAAAGTTAGTATATTAGTTACTGCACCATCAATGTGTTCAAAAACCAAACATCTTCAACAGTGTTGGGTGGCAGAAGTGGAAGAACAGCAGCTCTCCGATCAAGTAGATCGATGTTGTCGTTTTCTGTGTATGCTGTCTGCAAACCACATGTGTATGCGTTCCCCATATCAAAGCTCAAATTTACTTGGCTTATAAATAATTACTGCACTTCTCATAATTAGAATACTTATGATTTTTAATGTATTTGTAAATGGTCTTTAAATATGAAATTTCCCTTTAAATGAATAAATTTGCGACAAAAGAGACGATTTGTCATTCCCTATTGTTAAATTTCCTTTTTTAGACGGCAATGTTCCTTTTGCTTCATCATATGGTGTTTGTATATCCCAACTCGTTCGGATGAGATTTTAACGAACGTAATCAATGCATCACTGGTAAATTATTAAGTCAGGGAATTCGTTACTATAAATTCCTTTAAATTTTTTTATAATTTGGCTGTACCTATACAAAACATATTTAAAATGGTATTCTAAATTTTACGGCAACATTGTAATAAAAGCGCGAAAATCACTATGTGATCCGTGTAAACTCATCGAATCTTTAAACAAACTTATTAGTAAAGGCTATCTTACCAATGTTGTAATTAGATCTTTGAATATAGTTTACATTGGCACAAATATCGATTTTGTCTTCAGCAAATTGAAACATATCTAAATGTGTATTCTTTTCAAGCGGGGTGTATAGAGACACATCATTTTTTTCTATAAAGAAGATAACTCCTAACTATCCTACTGCCTGTCGATACATTTTTTTTTGGCATTCCACAAGTCTTCTTTGACTGTCCATGATTGTAAAATACTAAATCCCTTGGATGTGTTTTAGTTGAGTTTAGTCTCTGATGCATGATTTTTTTTATTATACATTGTTTTTGGCTTTGAATTAGCTGCCAGTAAGTGCGAGTTCTCTCAAATCGTACTTTCCTAGTAATTTGACCAATTGATACTATTTGTAATACTTTTTTGTTATTTAATGATTACTCATTCAGGGATATATATCGTCTATATATCAGCTTTGATAAGTGTTTGGTATTACTATAAATTTTCACTTCTTATTACTATGAACAAAAAAATTATATAATTTTGATATTTCCCTTCGTCATTTAAACTGTATACCTTACCACACAATTGTTTTCATTTACCTGTGTAAATCTTTGTATATGGTGGCTTTTTTTTTCAAGGTTATTGTTGTTATTTGAAATTGTAAAACATTTCACAGCGGTATACTAAAGTTGCCTTTATTTATTCACCCCTTATTTCTATTGATTGTGTATAATCATTGTATCAAAGATCAAATGTATTTGTTCAGTGTATGTTCACTAGTGTTAATACATGTATCAACAACATTGTTTTTTAAATCTATGGATTCTCAGTTTGATTTGAGGATTTTGAGACAATTTTAAAAACTTTTTGGTCTATTTTATGTGTTTTCTATACAAATGTTCACATATTTTGAAAAAAGCCAATAACTATTATTTCAGAAAATCGAAGGGTTAATTGCATTATATTTTCGATTTTCAGTTAACGTGTAACAAGCCGATGTTGTATGCAAAATTTTAACAAAATATATGATATAGCCCTTATACTGTAACTTGACATTAATCCTAGGTTATAGCTAGCTAACCACCCATTTGTATGACAGACGAGGTCTTATATATACAAGTTATTTTAAACAAGTAGTTTTGTTCGAATTCAACTATCAATGAAAAAAATATTTATTAACCGGAATTTTCAGAGAGGTTTTTAAATGTTTTATCAAATTTGCGATAAATCTTGACATTAAGTTATAGACCCGTGTCACTGCCTCTTATATGAGTACGATAGTAAAATATGTTATCATAAAAGTTTCAAATATGATTTATAACTGTTTAGACCAACCATCATCTGATAGTATTTATTAACACAATTTTACTTGCTATTGATGTTAAATTATCAACCGGTATTTCTTTGCTGATATAAGCAAAACGTTTTATATAGTATAGATTAAGTTTACTTGCTTAATCTTAAGAAATATGATATAAAAAATGACCTCTTAAGTTGGCTAGGGAGTAACATTTTTATCGTTCCTGGAGAGTTTTGGTAAATGATGCGTTATCTAATGTTGGTTAATTGAAAGCAGATGTAATTCAGGAATCTGCTTTGGGGCCTCCATTTTTTTTCCTAATATTCATAACCGAGATCACAGATAATATTACTAAATTCTTTGCCTAATTGTATCTTATGTTACATCTTTAGGTCACAAAGGTCAAACGGAATTTATTTACAGAACATGATTAACTCTGACATGACCCATTTGAAGAAATGGTCGGATAGACGGATGACCAAATTTGACCAACATAAATCTGTCATTTTGGTCTTTTATGTTAGTGATATTGACTGTAATCTATCGCTTGAGTTTGAACAAACAATACTTCATCTAATAAATCTTCATTAACATTTGGAAATTAGGTGGAGTAGAGACTGTGATAAACGTAGTGATAAATTAATCAAGATGGTTTCAAACAAATGTATGTACTTTGGAAACATGAATTTAAACTATAGGAATTATTTAGGATACTATTTACCTTACCTTTTAGGCCCGTACCAGAATATGTATCAATGGGACAACATTGTTTACACGAATTCTGGTATATTCCATAAGATTCAACTTGACGCAGCGCAAATAATCACAGGGTTTAAACATTCGCCTGACATTATGACGAGTTTCTTTTTAAAAGCTGGGACGATGCCACTGTTGGCAGATGTTTTGTCCACGAGGTTTACCTAGCACAGTAGTCAGCACTTCTTTGTTGGGGTGGGAAAATTAAAAACAGAGAAGTAAAAAACATTAATTATTTAAAATCATAATAAATCAGGCACATGACTATGAAAGGGAACTTGTGACACCTATAGGCTTAAATCCTAGTTCATATAGTATATTACACATCCATCCAGTAGGTTAATCATGGATCATCATTCTTTTTTTTTTAGCTTGAGCTAGTAATATTATAGAACTCTTTATATATTAACTTTTTAAAATGCAACAAAAATACTACGTAGATATCGATATGTGAACGTTCTTTACACCAAGTTACAAGAAATTCATGTAATGCACGAGTGTGTGCATCTGTGACAAACTATTTTTGTCTTTTTTTGCAAAACTTAATTTTATGAAATTAAAGTCTTTAATATTTTTAGTTACTTTTCAAAACCGTTCACAAGTATTTTTATGTGATTAAGAATCCAACTGTTTATATAACAAAGAAGATGGATGATGAGTGTTTTAAAGATTTTGATGTTGAATATTTTGTTATTATCAATGCACTCAGTACTGATAGAACAGCCAAATAAATCTTTAATTTACCAGACATTTTTGATGTAACACTGAATCTCACTGCTCACTGTGGCTGCTAATCAGATGTGTCCTAATTTGTCAGGAAAATTGCAATTGTTATTTTATAGTTCGTTTCTGTGTGTGTTGCATTGTCGTTTGGTTTTTTGTTGCACTTTAGTGTTTCTGTTGTTTCGTTGTTTTCCTCTTATATTTGATGTGTTTCCCTCAGTTTTAGTTTGTAAGCCGGATTTGTTTTCTCTCAATCGATTTATGACTTTCGAACAGCGATATACTACTGTTGCCTTTATTTATATTTTAGTTTGGGTGAACATTATTTATTCATAATCTGTAATTAGCTATGAACTAGCTGCTAGTACTTACGTTTTTTTGTGTAAGTTCTTTGTATGCTCCTTGTCTATCTCTCGAGTCGAGTTCATTCCAACTGAGTTTTACAATAGAAAAACAAAGGATATGGGGTATCCATTCATGACACAAAATCATTTCATGCATAGCAAAACATACTCAAAAAGCAAAGGACCAGCTCTATTATTGCTGTTCTGAACACCTCAAAGTCACAGTGAGGCCTTCAACACGGAGCAAAATGACTCATAACTCACTTATAGTTTAAGACTTCCCTAGCACCGGCTTGAGCGGAATTCTTCACAAAATATTTAGATGTACTTTGTTAGATAAATCGGGCCCGTTAAAAAAGTAAAATAGCAACAAAAAAAAACAGAACTCCAAGGAAAATTCAAATTGAAAGTTCTTTTTCAAATGGCAAAATCAAAAGCTCAAACACGTCAAAAGAAAGTAGAAAAAGGGTGGATTAAACCTGGTTTGATAGATAGTTAAACTTCTCTCGAAAGTCGCATGTGTAAGCAAAACAAACAGACATTCTATGTAAAATTGTCAAAAAATGGGGTACAGAAGTCAACTTTGTGTTATAATCTTAATCACTACAAAAACAAATAACTATTTCAACAAAGAAAAACAAAATGGCTGTAGGCACACTATATACAAAGTACATAACACTGTAGGCACACTATATACAAAGTACATAACAAAAATGAAAGACAGGAATACAAAAAAGATCATAGCATAATAACACAATGGCGGGATGTATAAATACTGAGTCACGCCAAAAGCATATTGCCAAAAGTGGACTAAACAGTTAAGTTTAAAAATATATAAAGACAAATAAAAAGATCACTATATCACGTGATTAAGATGATAAACAACGTCAGCACCTAGAATATATACATCAAGTCCATCATGTACTAATTGTAAAATTGATACGAAATACTTATCAACAAAGTCTTGGTATCTTCCGATAAACTTTTTCGAAAAGGACGATACGTTCAACACTTTTTTTACCAAAGAATTACTATTTTTATATACTTATTACGATAGGAATTCATAATATATGAAGTATGTCATATTTTCTATAAAGATCTTAGATTTTAGCCATTATTAACTGAGTAATCTTCATGGCCGCAATTACTTTAATTAATGTATACTTTTAGTAAATGTATGTACATGTAGTTAGTACAATTATGATTTAAGAGCTAAATTGACTATGTATACACGATTTGGCCTTAATAATGTTTGTCAAAATGTGTGCAAACATTGTTAAAATTCAATTTTAGTAAATAACTGTGCTTTTGAGTGTGGACGGTGTCCTTTTCGTTTTAGTTCATTGATTTAAATGTAAATATATTTTAAATTTAGTAACACAACCCGTATAAATACCCATCAGGTAAGTTGTTATAATAATCTCAATTCATTGCAAAATGCTTAAATAAATATTTTCTAATTTCTCATAGATTTTATCAATTCTGATTAAAAGTAAAAGTATTCTTGCTTTACAAATTCTTTAACTTTACAAAGTACAGCTTTTCAGTGACCTACTGCTGCAAAAATAGTAAGTCACACATTTGACTGTAAGAAGTTCCTATCAAGAAAGAATTCAATCCATGTAATTGTTATTATTTGATAAAACAAATCGCATTAATTGTGTCTTTTTTTTTCGGTATATTATCTTTTAATGACATGTATGTGATGTTTCGACAATGTTTTTGTTTCACATTGCCGTTAAGCATGAATCAGTTAATCATAAAATGTCAAAAGTGTCTTAAGCTCTACTCTTCTCCTTAGGAATCAAACATGCCAAATGTGTGTTAGCAGTACATAGTGTGCCCTGTTATTGTTGTACATACACATCAATTTCTTTCACAATTTTTAATACAAATAAAAGGATGCTTGACTTAACATACATATATCATGGTTTAGATACAGAATATTTTACGAATCTAAAAATAGAATATCCTACAAAGTCTACATTATGTCTGATAAATAAACAATGGTTAATAGATTGATGGTTGCGAAACGTCCAATTTCAAATCTTTTATTTATATTCAGGACGAGAACAAATTAATAATAAATACAACATGTAGGTACTGCAATAGAGGCCGTCCTGAGGATGAAGGTCGGGGAAATTTGGTCTGCCACTGGATAATGAGGTTTAATTGCATATGGACATACATTTCGGACCGAGCGACAACCCAAGTGAATCAAAATTATGCTGTTCAATAAAATAATAAACAATAAAGTTGAACGATTTGAAACAGTAACCGGTATGTGACTTTGATCTATCAATAAAAGGCGAAATACCAATACGTAGAAAGTATACATAACACATTGAGAAATATAAGTATATATGTTTTGTTAAATTGAAAAAGATCTTTATTATATATTATCTTACAGACGACTAGTCCATGATGATTGCAGTAAAGTTAACAGTTCTACTATATGTATTATTACCAGCTTTCTCTCAAGATTTACAAGAAGTAACAATTAGTACACCACTTGGTGGACTTCTTGGTTTACGTCGGAAGTTATTGAGTGAGAATGTTTATGAATTCAAGAACATACCGTTTGCTAAAGCACCTGTCGATAATTTACGGTTCGAGAAACCACAGCCGTATGGATCATGGGATAATACCTTAGACGCTAGAAACTTTGGTCCGTCATGTTATCAAGACATGAGCGGAACGGAATCCTATCTAAAAAATACAAATATCTCCGAAGATTGTCTTTATCTCAATATATATATTCCACATCATGTTTCGACCGAAAGTAGCAAAGCTGTAATGGTCTGGATCCACGGCGGTGGTTATTCTAATGGACAAACCCAGTTATATGACGCAGCATATCTATCTGTTGCAGGCGATGTTATAGTTGTTACTATTCAATACCGTTTAAATATTTTTGGTTTCTTTGCAACCGGCAATAGTAAAGGAAATTATGGATTATGGGACCAGATTTTGGCAATACAGTGGGTAAAAGATAATATAAATTCGTATGGCGGTAACAGTCAATCTGTTACAATATTCGGAGAATCAGCTGGTGCATTTAGTGTGGGTTTATTATCAATTATGCCACAAAATCAAGGACTATTTCAAAGGGCTATAATGCAGAGTGGAACCGCCCTCTCAGAAGTCAGCATGGGAACAATTACACGGTTTGCTTCATCACAGGTAGCAAATAATGTGGGATGTTCTCAATCAGATCCTGGGAAATTAACTCAATGCATTAAATACGTAGATGCAAACGTTTTGTTAGCAGAGGGAGGAAAAGAATTTTCATCTAGTTTTATCCAAATTCCATTTGCCCCAGTAATTGATGGCGAATTGTTGCCAGTTCAACCAAAACAATTGTTACTTAATTCATCAGCTTCTGGATTTTTTAAGTCACTGGATGTCATCATTGGAACAAATACAGGAGAGGGTTCGCTTATGTTAGACTTTTTTCTAAACGGAGGTCAAAATCTGTTTCAATTTAACGCATCAGATCATATACCAAAACGGATTCTTTGTGAAGTTCTTGTTCCTGATATTGCGAATGTAGTGTACAATAATAACACGGACATAGCTATTTCTATATGTGATAACTACGGTTCAGCATCAACACGTGACCAACTGAGTAAAGATATTCTAAATGTATATTCAGACCTAGCATTTATGGTCCCAGCAGTTGAATCATTGCGCCTTCACACAGGTAACGGTAAAGGAAAACAATTTCAGTATATTTTCTCTAAACAGTCATCTTTTTTTACTGCAATACCTTATCCAGAGTGGTTTGACGGTTCAGCTCACGCCACAGAACTAATTTATCTATTTTTCCCGGGAACACTTTCCACAGACCAAGATGGAGAGCTATCTTTGAAATTGTTGAGGTACTGGACTAATTTCGCCAAAACAGGGTGAGTATTGCACTGAGGAACAGGGTGTTGATATTTTTTTTCTTCAGTCAAATAGTCAAATTTCTCGAATTTATTCAGGATTCATAATTCGTAAATATCCCACACATTTATAAGTTGAGTATAGAAACTCGTTGAACAACCATTATAGTTTCATATCTTTCATGTCGGGGCCTTTTGTAGTCGACTATACGATATGGATTTTCTCATTGTTGCAGGCCGTTCGGTTGCCTATAATTGCTATCACCCACTTTAAAACCTTAAATGAACAAAACGACATTTCAGAACAAATGTTTGGTAATATTATTTTCAAAATGATATTGACACAACAGTAGAGTACATAAATTGAACTGAACGAAATTTAAGAGTCGATGTTGGTACTTAATTTAACCTAAATAAATATTAATGAAGTGTTTAAATGTAAAAAGGTAGCTCAAGTGTATTATTTATTTTATTATCATGACGGACAAATTTAAACTACAAGTTCAAAAATTAGATCTATATTTTGAAATATTTATATTTTTTTCGTGTTGATCTGAAAACATTCGTGTGGCCAGTTTTCTTAAGGCTTTGATATTATAAGAACAAATCATTTTGAACTTCGCTTATTGTTGAAGGCCGTACGATGACCTATAGTTGTTAGTTTTCGTGTCATTTGGTCTCTTGTAGAGAGTTGTTTCATTTGCAATCTTACCACATCTTCTTTTTTATACTGCTTAAATCAGGCAATGCCAATAAGCTGGCATTCAAAAGGGAGTAATTGTTCATTTTTTTCAAATTGTATTTTGAAGAAGGCAAAAAAAAAAAAACCGAATTGTCACGGTTTTTACTAATAAATAAACTCATCATATCCACGATTAAATTTTGTATTTGCACCAGACGCGCGTTTAGTCTACAAAAGACTCGTCAGTGACGCTCGAATCCAAAAAAAGTTTAAAAGGCCAAATAAAGTACAAAGTGGAAGATCATTGAGGACCAAAAATTCCTAAAAGTTTTGCCAAATACAGCTAAGGTAATCTATTCCTGAGGTAGAAAATCCTTAGTATTTCAAAAATTCAAAAGTTTTGTAAACAGTTAATTTATAAATATGACCATATCAATGATAATTCATGTCAGCACAGAAGTGCTGACTACTGAGCTGGTAATACCCTCGGGGAATTAAAACTCCACCAGCAGTGGCATCGACCCAGCGGTTGTAAATAAACTCATCATAGATACCAGGATTAAATTTTGTATTTACGCCAGACGCGCCTTTCGTCTACAAAAGACTCATCAGGTCAAACACATTTTTTTTATAAATATTGCCAAATGACGTGTATTTACATTTCAACAATCCTGAATGTGTTCAAATGAGGAAAATATATATTTCACTTTTATTCCCTGTAATTTAGAAATTCAAAAATATTCTTTGCTATTGTTTTTTTCAAGTGCGGTCAGGGGTTTTATGTCATTATTTAAAACTAAAACACCCGATGATTTCTTTTTTTTCCACACCAAATGTTATTTTGTCAAATGACAAGGTTCACTCTTAGTTAAATATGGCCTTAAATTTCAAAATGGTCATACTTTGGGACTTAATGGATCTATTTCAAACGCCTTACTTCTTTGTTAAAATAAATCTCTTCATTAGAGTACATTTTCGGCTTCAAAATTAGTATATTTTGAATATATTGTCAAAATACAATGGTTTTGTGATTTTTGTAGACCTAAAATGTTCGAGAAAACTTTCGCCGCCACCTAGGATCCAAATGTCCTGTTACCAAGAGCTCCATTGATGAAATTGACTCCCTAGACACAAATACTGTCTGGATCTTGGTTGGCGGCCAAATTAAATTATGTAAAAAACTGTTCAGAATTTATCGTGATATCATAACTATTTCTATGTGCAATTTGTAGTATTATGGTCTGTTAAAAAAACCGTTGAAATCCTAGGGACAATTTAAACCCTTCGTGAACTCACTCCTTTGGAAGGTTACTAGTATTTATTGGCTGTGCCTTTCAATTATATTAAATGGGGAAGAAGACTTTCAGTGATATGCAAAAAATTGTGGAAATACTACGTAGCCTTTGAAGAAATGTGCATTGTAATTTTTGCAAATCGTGTGCATTTAATTTGTCTTTCAATTGTATATTGTATGTTGACAATGTTTAGTATTTTATGTATGTTTAAATTCTCCCTCGCCCTGCTCGTCCGAATTTAAAGTATTTCTACTCTAAATTCAATAGGCTTTTAACAAAACAAACGCAGAAAATAGGATCGCAGTAACATATTATTTTCTCTTGCGATACAATATTTTATTAAACTTTATAGTACAGGTTTCTTTGATTCAAACAAGATATATAAATACATGAGACAATATCTGAAAATGTCTAATTTTTGACAATAGGAAAAACCAAAAAAAAAAAATGTCTTCAGAACCGGTATTTTAATAGCACAAATCAAAGAACACACATTGAGGATTCAGGAACTGTTGTCTGTAATTCAAACAATTGTTAAATGAAGTAACAATGGCAATGTAAAAAATGGTACCAAAAATTCCAATTCTTTCCTGTTACTAAAGTGAATCAATTTAAAAAAAGTTTCTAATGGGAATAAGGAATAAGTGAAAGATACAATTTGTGGTTTACTAGTATATCCTGCAAAATTTTATCAAATGCCAATTATTTATTCTAGCATTTACAATACAAAAGGTTGAGAAATATACTAAAATATAGTCCGATATGTCGGTAACATGAAAGAATCTTGAGTAACAGGACAGAATTGGTAACAGGAAGGAATTTTTTTTTCAAAACAATTGCTTTATTTCATAGTTTAAGAAAAATACATCATTGCAACTTTACAAATTGGTCACAATTGGAAGATAACAGCAAACAATGTCATTTATCTTTTGAAACTTTATTTGCAAGATGGAAAATCTGCCTAGGTAATGAAAAATTCAAAAATAAATTCCTTTCTGTTACCATCTACTATACTAGAATTGCACAATGTCCTCTGCTGTTATCAAAAGTCAAAACCGGTCTTTTCATTCAAAATACTGTATATTATGTTGAGATTTATTTATTATGGTGGTAATGACTTATATGAAATGAAATGGTTAGCAAATAGTAGATTAACTTTGTGATTCATCATTAAAATTGTCTTTAACATCCTTCCTGTTACTGATTATGGCTATGCTGTTATTTTTTACCAGGTAACATGACAGAACGTAACAGAAAGGAATTACACTGTACTTTTTGTCCTTTTATTCCAATTGGGTAGAAGTTTACTTCCATCTACATATCAATTTAATAAGATACTATAAAAACACATTAACTGTTATAGTGCTGACAATCAAATATTCTCAGAAGGTATACAAAAAGGCTGTAACAGGAGAGAACAACACAATTATTTTTCTCTAAATTCTGATCTTTGGGGAGCTCGGATTTTTCAAACTGGCTGCCATTCAAACTATACATATGGAGTAATACATTCAGGAAATGATGCTCTTCTCATTGCATTATAAGTAATCAAATCTTGGTCTTTCAAACGTTTCCACAGGTGAAAAAACCTAGTGGTAACAGGAGGGAAATTACCCCTTTTAGTGGAGTGACAAATCGGAAAAATTCAATGAACATATATTGAAAAGTTATTCCAGGGGTTGCATCATATTAAAATCAAGACAGTTATGTTTTATTTCTAATAAGTTCTTTTCCTCAGATGTCAAACATGATGAATTGTGATTTCGGACTGGAGGCGTTTCTTCAACCAAAGCCACAAGACAGTTTTTACCTTTTCACGACATATGCAACCTTTTTTTTAAGTTATTGGACCCCTGATGTCTGGCACACCAATAGCAGCTCGCGCTCTTACAGGATGCGACACGTCTTCTCTAATCGAAATTGGCAAAAGAAGACGATTACGAGGGTTCGGAAAAAGACATGCATGTATCAAAATTTGTCAATCTAGCTGGTTCCTATATTGACACAACTGTTGCAGTGAAAATTAATTCACAAAGGATCAAAATGACCTCAGAAGCAATGGTCAATCAGTATATGGTGATCTGAATAAACTAATGAGTATTGTCGGCGCAATACAATGACATCCACTTTTTTCTAGTATTCCGTTACCTTTTCAAATTGATGTGCATATTGATGTCTAGTAATAGTGTGTTATAATTATACCTAGACAGCTTCTTTTGAAGTGAGTTATAAAGGGCCCCAAAAAATTACTAGTGTATAATCCATTCAAACGGAGAAACCATTGCAACGGTCTAATCTATATAAAAAACGAGAAACGACACACATTTATGAACCACATCAACAAACGACAACTATGTCTGTCGTTGTTTTATAAAAAGACATCTTCTCAATGTGCTATTGCTCTAGTACTGATTTATCTATTAACATAAAAACAAACTTCATATACTAAAGTGTCATGAACATGAAGACTAATTTTATAGTTCTAACATCCTTTTAAGTTAAATCAGCCAAGAATGTCATCTTTTTTTTCATTTCATCATGGACCGGGTGTTAACTTTACAGTTCTTATTTCTCCTCTGTTCTTTATGGCATTTTAACAAAACTTTTCCAAAAATATCTTTATATGTGGCCATATATTATTGCATAGCTTAATCTTAATTATGAATATTTTTTGTCGATAATTTCCGTAGATAAAGATATTCTTTCCATTTTCGTATATATTGCAAGCGAGGGTATGTATCACTAATCTCTGGCAATCAGACATAAGTATGACTAGATGCATTCGTGGAGCATTCCTACAGAATGCTTCCATAGAAAAAAATTCTCAGTTAACATGATAGACTACCGAGAAATTGCCAAAATGTCTGAAATTTGCGATTTTTTAAAATCCCCCCTTTTTACCTGTGACCGCAGTTTGCAAAAATCTGCACCCCTTTGGCACTCTACGATATGTCTTAATCAAAGGGTATTATATTTATCTACAAAATAAGACCAAAATTAGCCGTGAGGTATTTCGGTCCATTAGATTTTCAAATTTACGTTATTTGTCACCGTACTATTTGGACACAATATAAAAGACCCTTAAAAATGCAAAATTTTATTACATGCTTTAGTTATAATAAAAACAGACTAGCAAGGGACAAGTTTCTTATATGTGAAAATCGGAAGCCGGGTTATTTTTTTGGGATATTCTTTGAATGATTAAGTTGTCAGAAAACAATACGGGTCAACATGATTTTTTGGGGGGTCGGACATTCAAATTGTAATATTCTATTGGAAGAAATTTAAGAAAGAGTGTTTAATTGGCAATAGTTGGTGCATTATATACTTATAGATTATCGTTGATAATCTCAACGAGATTGATTTTCTCGCTTGAGCCGGTACGGCGAATGTGAGAAAAGCAATCGAGTTGAGATGACCTATGATAATCTGTTTATCGCTATTTTACCTATGATGACGTTGTCAATTTCATGTTAATTCCAATAACAACGGCACGTGCGCCCTTAGTTTCTTACGATAATTTTCATATCTCTCGACTCCGCTGAGAAAGAAAATTATCAGACAGTAAGATCAAGGGGAAATTTCGTAAAATAGCGATAATCTAGTTAATACTGAAACTTAAAATTTTCTAAAAAGATGGTTGAATAAAAAAATGATTGCTGGTGAAAGATGGAACAAGGAAATTATACTTTTTCAGATATTGTCTCACATATAATAAACAAAGCAGCCATTGTATATATATACTAATGTGACTAACTTCGTGACGATTCGACGTAACTGCGAGCACCTTCGATACTAATACATTTAAATGCCAAACTTTATATAGTACCATAAAACCCCACCCGTAGAAATTGCAAAAACTTTTCTCGTGCCTTGTGCACGTAACATCAAACTTTATAAATAGTACGTAGTGTTGCAGAACTAGTTTCAGAACTAGTTACACTTGTTCCATCTATATATAATTAATACAAATAGCAAACGGGAAAAATCCAATTTCAAACGAAATGAAATATATATATAATGGTCTTGATTCATTTTATTCGTGTTCCACTGATAAGTCTTATGTAGCCGATACACCTTCATTTACTTAATCATCAGTACTTTTATATTTGAGTTTGATCAAAATAAAGAAAACAAAAAGACACTAAATGCTGATTGAACATTTAATCGAACAAACTAAAGAGGTTCAATTTGATAACCGGAAGACCTAACAACGCAGAATTAATGAATTCAGCTTTATATATAATTAATATAGGACAATGGCATTGATTAAACATTACTATATTTCAAGTCCGTTTGTTTTCAACATAACTTATATTGCCTATAATTAACAAGTTTCGTTTCCACGGGTTCAAACAGAAAGAATTTGAAAGCAGAGAAAACTGTACACCTTATAATCAGCATGACTTTATGAGATGATAACACGGATACGAATACTTAAAATCCTGGATAAGCATTAGGCGTCGGTACTATAATTCAGTCATGGACCCGGGGATGTGTTCTTATGATAAAACAAATTCATATTTTTTTTCCAGAGATGTCAATGGAGAAGAACTGCCAAAATGGGAAGAATATGACGCAACAAATGAACATTACATCAATTTAAATATCAACGTTACAACTGGTCAACATATGTTTGAGGACCGTGTAGACTTCTGGTTGAATGACATCCCCAGAGTATTAAACCCATCATCATCAACACGCAGGCCAATGATACAAACATCGCCGACTAATGGCAGTCATAAAGTATACAGACATGAACTGTTAATAAGTTGCTTTCTCTTGTTGTATGTTGTGTTGTGTTTCTATAGATCGAATTAACTAGAGTGTTTTACATATATTAAAATAATATTGATATTCCGCTGCACCTTAGAAGGCAGTAATCTGTAAAGAAGTCTACATCCTTGTTTGAACTAACTTAATTGTTTTTCGTTTTTTAAAGCCTAACTTAAATTTAAGCTTTTACTTAAATAATTTTCAATTATTTTGTGGTCGGATGTTTTTAAGCCCTTAGTTGTTTTGTAGTCTTTGATTCCTTTTTTTAGACTAAAAATCCCGTTTCTCGTGAGAGGAGTATTTATCATTAACAGTATAATAAAACACTGCTCTTTATGAATCATAGTGGTATTTTCTTATCTAAAACATTCAAATGTTAAAGTTTTATATATATAAAAATAACTCATTAAGTTTATACAACTTAATTATTATTCTCGTATCTCAATAAAAATATCTCATTTGGGCAGTATTTGTTCTTATTCTGTTCATTGAGATAATTTCGAACCAATAAAAAAAAGGCGGCAGTAGTATACCGGTGTTCCAAAGTAATAAATCGATTGAGAGAAAACAAATCCGGGTTACAAAACTAGAACCGATGGGTACACATCAGCTATAAGAGGAGAATAAGGGAACAACAGGAACACTGAAGTGCAACAAAACCAACGCCAACATACATAGACAGGAACTATTTGATAGCAACTGCCATATTCCTGACTTGGTACAGAACATTTTAAGATAAATGGTGGGTTGAACTTGGTTTAATCGCTAGCCAAACCTCCCGCTTTATGGCAATGTTAAAAAATATCACTGAATTGGCAATATTGCATGACAGAAATACAGCACGATCACATGCAAGAACATCACAGAGAAACGCACAAACAAATAATATGATAGTCGACAAAACATGCAAACTCAGAACAACAACGAACATATTCCATCAACGACAAATACCACAGGTTTTAAAAAAAAACAAGTGACGAACTTACGTAACTAACATGCAATCTCGAACTTTATTTTCATGCAGTGTTAGCAATGATTTCCATATAAAGTTTATAAATTAAGATATGGGTTAAAAAAAAATATGCGTTTGACTTCATACAGGAATTTCTTTTAAAAGAAGAAAGAAAAGAAGTTAGCAGTATCCTTTAACTTTAATTACCGCTATATAGATGATGTTCTCTCACTAAATAATTCAAAATTTGGTGACTATGTTGAACGCATCTATCCCATCGAACTAGAGATAAATGATACAACAGATACAGATAAGTCTGCCTTATATCTTGAAATTGACAATAAGGGTCGGTTGAAAACAAAATGTCATGACAAAAGAGATGATTTCAGCTGTTAACTTTCCATTTCTATGTAGCAACATTCCAGCAGCGCCTGCATACGGAGTATATTTCTCCCAATTGATACGATATTAACGGGCTTCTATTTCCTATCATGATTTCTTTGATAGAGGGTTGCTGCTCACAAGGAAACTATTAAACTAAGAGTTCAAAATGGTGAAGTTGAAATTATCCCTTCGTAAATTTTACGGACGCCAACATTGAGTTGGTTGACCGTTATGGAATAAAATTTAGAATAGATATGGGGAATATCTATTTCACAGATGAAAGCGGATAATTCTTTTTGTCGTAAATCCCGTTCTCTTTCAATGTTTCAAGTCAGTTGTAGATCTCACGATATTGTTTTTCTGGGGTACATGTTTTATTTTCCTCAGCTCTGTATTTGAAAAGGTACATGCATGTGTGTGATGCCGCGTATGCGTGATTTCCAGATGATTTGGTGTATTAGGACCTTCTGTTGCGTAATGTTTCCATAGGCTTTAGTTGCCTTCCATCCAGTAATTAGTTATATAATAGGTAAAAGCAATAGATGGTATATTAGTAACTGCAACATCGATGTCTTCAAAAACCAAACATCTTCGACTGTGTTGGGTGGCAGAAGTGAAAGAACAACAGCTCTCCGAACAAGTAGATAGATGTTGTCGTTTTCTGTGTATGCTTCTTTTACCTGTTTTTTTTTAATTAGAAACTAAAGACTAAACAACATATTTTGCTATCACAACATTTACATGGAATAGACAGAATATCAAAATTCAAAAATCAAAATGTAGGAATAGCCAGAATACACGGACAATAACAATTCTACTCGTTTCTAGAGATAAGTCAGGAATGCACATGTCGACGAAATATTGATGTAAATTCGTTCCGACCTGTCACGTGACAGAAAGATTAAGCTAGAGTGTGAGTACATTAACTCCATAACAGTGGAACTGGTAGGAAATAGAAAAACATGGTTAATATCTGGAAAAGAGGGGCGAAAGATACCAGAGGGACAGTCAAACTCATAGATCGAAAATAAACTGACACCACCATGGCTAAAAATGAAAAAGACAAACAGAAAAATAATAGTACACATGACACAACATAGAAAACTAAAGACTAAGCAACACGAACCCCACCAAAAACTGGGGGTGATCTCAGGTACTCCGGAAGGGTAAGCAGATCCTGCTCCACATGTGGCACCCGTCGTGTTGCTCATGTTATTACAAACCCGGTAAATAGTATAATTCGGTAGTTCACATTCATGAAAAGGGAAGGGGATTGTAGTTACGACGTAAGGAACAGATCCGATATCATCTGTGAAACGGTTATTCCAAAACGGTCAACCAACTCGTGATGGCGTCCGTAACATTTACGAAGGGATGATTTCAACTTCACCATTTGGAACTCTTGGTTTAATAGCTTCCTTGTGAGCAGCAACCCTCTATCATGGAAATCATGATAGGAATGTATAGACCACAAACAAAATGTTAATAACTTTATTTATGACTTTACCAAAAAAGAAAAATGAAAACAATACAGTACGCTATAAACTTCATGTGTCCGAAGCGCTTTTCTGGATTTACCTCCATCAGAAGGTAAAAAAGGCCAAGTTGGTATTTTTGGAAATTTTTTACATCTGTTTCTATGGGCTTTAAAAGTTAATTGCAGGTGCATAATATAGGATTTTATACATCTTTTAAACGTGTATTTACTAACTTAAATTATAGTATGGAGTTTCGAGATATTTGCTTATATATTTTTTAAACAAAACAGTCGATTGTAGTACATGTGGATCTTTTTTGTGCATTAGCATACATTCCACCGATAAAATGTCCACAGAAAGATAAAAGATTGATTTTAAAGCATTAATTTGCATCTCTGCCCCGGCCACAGTTTTCTGGGGAAAAAATCGCAAAATGTGCAATAAATTTCATCGAGTACACCTTTTTATGTTCAGGCGTGTTCGAGTTGACTACTTTTTCTTGAAAACGTTTCCCCAAGTCAGGAGCTTATGATTCAGTGCACGTGGTTGTCATTTGTTACTGTGTAGCATATTTGTTTTTTTGTTCATTTTTTTGTACATAAATTAGGTCGTTTGTTTTTTCGTTTGAATTATTTTACATTTGTCATGTCAGTGCCCTTTTTATCTGACTATGCGGTATGGACTGTGCTTATAGTTATAGGTCATACGGTGACATATAGATGTTAATTTCTGTGTCATTTGGTCTCTTGTGGATAGTTGTTTCAGAGACAATAATACCACATGTTCTTATTTTTATATATAAAAAAAATATGTGATTCACCATCTTGCTTCAGATTCTATTATGTTTTTTTTTATATATTTTGGCTACAGATTGACACAATTACATTAAAAAACTCATCGCACTTAAAATGAAATATATGGGTCAAGTGAAATACCTTTCCAATCAGTCATAACAACAGAGTTGGTGTGTTTGAATAACAATTTTTTACTGAAAACCCTTGATGACAGACTTTACAAGTGAGTCTTAAAAATGCATAACTTTTTTTGTGTGTGTCAGTTAACTAGGATTATTCGTTTTCACGTCTGTAATTGTTTAGTCTGCCCTTCCACAAAAGATATAATTAGATTTTTTTTTAGTGTTTTCAATTTTCGAAAATTATCCCTGACAATCGATCAAACAATAGTTAAGTTGACTAAAGGCAAAAAAGTACATTAAACGATGATTAATAGCTAGTAGATACATTTTTTTTTAAAAATATAACTGGTATATAAGTATCGTAATAATGCTATGAGGGTAAATTTATCGGTTTTCAAAAGTTAAATTTACAGCGCGTCATCCCTACAATGGCTTTCATTTCTACGACTGAAAAATTAGATGGCGTAAAGAGGAAGTAATTTTGACGAAGTAGAATCCTGAATGACAAACATTGTAGCAAATGAAATGTACGGGGAAATGTACGAATTTGAAAAAGGTATATGCGAGTAGCTACGTTTACGTCAAAACAACCAGACGTGCACATAAATATTGATGAAAAAAAAGTGTAACCCAAATAAATTAAAAGAACTGATTAAAAGCAGACGAGCCTAGCTTGTAATTCTTTCTTCAATGACTTGTATAAATTGCCGATAAAAGTCAAATTGATGAAATTTACTTTTTAATCGAATGGTATCATAGTTTATACTTATTGTCAGGTATGAGTGGAAAATAAGTTTATTTTCCCCCGAGCTGCAACTATTGCCCTAATGAGAAGCCGAATTGTTGTATCCGAGGGGACAATTAACTTAATATTCCACGAATATCCAGTCAGTAAGTGTTTTATTATACCGAAAGAGACAACATACAAAAAGTTATGCCATGGAATGAACGACATAGCTGACCAAAATTCATGTTAACATGTGTTAGAGGTAACGGACACATACTGATGACAATTATCCGATTATAGATATGAATTACAATAATATTACATGAGCCATAATTCTGTCGTCTGATACGACTTAGTGTGTTTTTGAACGACTCGAGAATCTATATGAATAATTGGGATGATTTAGATAGTCCCGAATGAATTGTTAAAAACCCGCCAGCCGATCCCGTAAATGTAGTTGAAATTCCGCGAAATATAATGACGCTTGTGGTCAAATAGTTTCATCGAGTGAAAATAGTTGGAAACTATTGACCGGTCAAATAGATCAACGCTTGCAATTTGAAAAATAGTGAAAAAAATTATATTACAATTTTATAAAGAAAATGTTAACTGACTAATAATACTATTTTAAGGTACATTTCGGTCATATAGCTTTGCAACTGTTTCGGTTCTTATACTTCATCGGCTTTCAAATATTTGGCTTTGAACGTTCCTGAAGGTAAATTCAGAAAAGTGCCTCGGACGCATGCAATTAATAACGTGTGGTTTTCATTTTTTATAGCACTCGGTCCATACCTCTGCTGGTGGACTATCAGTCCCCGAGGATATCATCAGCTCAGTAGTCAGTACTTCGGTACTGACATAATTTATAATAAACTTTTCTAAAATTGTCCTTTTATAACTTTTGAAATTAAAAAGAAACTTAGGTTTCAACTCCGTCAGGCAAAGTTGACCTTAGACGAATTTGGCTATTTTTGGGTTCTTTTTGGTCAGATAGCTTTGCAACTGT